TACTTTACAGCTAATGAGCACACACACAGCTTGAAGCGAGAAATGAATTTTGCTTGTTTAGTTTTTCTTTTTTTTTTTTTGTTCATTAGGAGCGATAAAAATCTTCAAAAGCATGCGAACTTCTGGAATTTCTTAGGAAGCAACTTCAATTTATCACGCAAAATTCTAATCTGCTTGAATATATACCCAAAAAGTAGGGACTGTGGGGAGGAGAAGGAGGCCGGCCACGCTTGCCTTGATCCAAACATGCTGGAACCAATTTCGAACTTATCTGCCATGTTTTTAGGCAGGTGGCTGCTGGATGGACGCTTTGCAGTTAACTCTTCACTGCAGCGGTTTGTTAATGAGAACAATGCGTAAAGTATGACTTTAATAACATCATGATATAAACGAACTGATTTTGAATACTAGGATTACATGCATTTGCAGGACTCTTCTTTTGTATCGAAAATGAGTGCACAGTTCTGAAACAGTTCAGAAATTCCTAAAAAAACTTCAAAAATTTGCTGGAAATTTAATTTCTTTTCGTAGAAAAAAAATTTTTTTAGCTTTCTGCTAGTGAAAAAAAAGGAGCCACCGAAGAAGAGGAACAGAAATTGCCAGATACAGCGATATATACTGATGCTACTGAAAGTGTTCAAGAATTTAATGAAGTTGAAGCGGAAAAGCATTTTGATGGTAAGATCTTTCTTTCGCTGTCCTTTAGTCCTGGTAATTAACTTCAGCAGGAAATCCAATGGTCCAGTGCAAAACTACGCATCATAATTTAGGCCATTTTCAGTACTAGAAAAACAGGCAAATTTTGGACTGTTATGATGCTAGGAAGTAGTGCCTATGGTAAGGAATAAGATCTCCCCATTTAGCATACCAAATGACAGTTCAAATTTTGCATTTACAACTAGATATTTGTCCGAAAAAGAGAGAATTTTGTATTGGAAAGATGAAAGAAATTTACTTATTTGGAGCAGAATTTTTGATTATTTAAAAAAAAATATGTGTTTAATTATCTGAAAAAGAAACGTCTAGGCTTGGATGATGATATCGATCGAATAGCTATGGATAGTGATGCTGTAACTATTGATTACGAAGAAGAAAGCAATTACATTCAGTCAGAACCAGAACAGGTTAATTTTTGCAAAATGGAATAATTTTTTTGGCTTCAGTGAATATCTTCCGGAAAAACGAATAGCTCGTGTCGTAATTTATCAAAAATGTTATATCCAGACATTCATTGCAAAATATCAGTTCCACGTCGTTAATGTTGACAGTTTATGTGATCTTATCTGGGGAAGCAGGGTATGAAAATGCTGATCATACATCGTTAAAGAAGCAAATTCACATTTAGATCGGTCCGACGGCCCAAACCGAAGATCTCGCCGAAGAAAACAAAAGTCTGGTGTGGAGCTTACTAAAGCAAGTTCGGCCTGGAATGGATCTTTCCAAAGTAACGTTGCCAACATTCATCCTTGAGCCGCGTTCGTTCCTTGAAAAACTCGCCGATTTCTATTACCACTCATATATCCTTACTGAGTGAGTTTCTGCGTTACTTTTTCAAGTAGAATTTGACGATGCTGCACGCTTTCGTTGTCAGCTATTTAAATCCGTCATGCGATGTGGACAGACTTCATTGTTGCAAATGGGGGTCTCGAACTACTCGTCTTCACATTCAAACTCGACCCGCTAAAAACTGGCCCATGTATTTGGCGCACCATTTTATTCAGGGGGTTCGTTTTTCTTTGGTTCAATTGGAGTTACGATAAACGTGCTTCCTTGAGCAAAAAATTTCAACACTAATTATTTTTTCCCTTAAAAGTTTACCCTCCATAAAGTAGGTTTTTGTGATCAGGATTGTTTCTTCTTGCCGATTCCAGAGCGAGTTCTTGAACTGGCTCAAAAAACCGAACAAGGGGTTGAAACAAC